TTTTAATTTTTTTACATTTTATTGAATGAAAGCAAAAAATGTCGGAAATAGCAACAAATTTTGGAATATGTTTAGATTTGCTTGAATTGGTCACCGTTGGCACGAATTATGGCCTTCAAACGTCCAATGAAACTATCACCCAATGCCCGAATGTAGCTCTGCGGTATTTTGGCTCATTCCCGGCGAAGCGCTTGCGTGAGGTGATCGACTCCTTAGTATTTTTTAGTGCAAACTTATTTCTTCTATCCAAAATACTCCAGACACAATAGTCCATCGGATTGGCATCCGGAGATTTTGGTGGTCATTGTGCGCTGGAAATGAAGCGAGGAACCTCATTTTGTAACCATTCTTGGGTGGCGTGTACTGAGTGCGATGGTGCCGAGTCCTGTTGGAATGTCCAAGGTCTTCGGCAAAAATGTTTGCATGCCCAAGGCTTTAATAAACCCTCCAGAATCTTTTGCGATTTCGTGGCATTTATTCTGATGCCACGGTCGATCAATACGAGCGGAGAGCGACCATCGGCTTATATGGTAGCCCACACCATCACCATGGCAGGCGTTTGAGTTCTGGTGGCCAACCGTAAGTGCACATTTTGAGTCTATTTTCTTTCTTTTGCGATTTAAGTTCTTGCACTTTTTGGATTTTCAAATGCTTTACACCGAACTCTTTTTTCAATATTTGTGAATGGAATATTGCGATATCTGCAGATCACGAGCCATTTTTCGGCCTCTGCGACGCGGGTTTCGATCAAGGCGCTTCTTTACTTTTCGAACAAGTTTTGCTAATGTTGCTGTTTTCTTCGGTCCACGAACGAGCGATGGTACGAGACACAAAAGATTTATTCACATTTGAATGATGGAGAGCTCTAACGATAGCCACCTGTCAAATGTAAAGAAAACACACTACCACGCTTAAATTCCGTCACGAATAACTTTTTTTCTGAAATATTCTCACCAAAAAGCGTTTGTTTGCTTGTAAACAATATAATGAGCTGTCGCTGTCATAATTTTAACAGCTGTCCGACGAGTGGCTTAGAAATGTCAGCAGTTTCCACTATCCAATGGACTTTAGAAAATGACAAGTGTATTTGACAGTATTCTGTTTTAAGATCGAAATCAGGTTTTTAAGCCAACCCTTTTTAAGGATTTGTATAAAGTTGACCATATACTAAAGGACCCCAATAAATTGAGACATATTTTAAAACATTTAATACATCATTGGTAAAAAATAGGTCATGTCGGTCCACTTTCGCTTTAGTCCCAATTTAAAGGTTAACCCCGATTTTAAATATTTTCTTAAGTTGTAATCATATTTTCTATAAAATATATCCAAATTTTGTTATTTTAAGCTGCTATTTATAGAAACGCTACTGACATAAAATATTAATATTGGTCCACATTTTGGTTTTAGATATAGAAGAGTATTGGTCATATTTTTTAATTTTTCTGCCTAAAAATTTGGACTTGTGTGTACAATTCTATGAGGCCTATAATGAGGGGCTATATATTTTAAAGTTCATTCGGAGTTCTAATGCAATGTACATAACATTTATGAAAACAATATAAAATGTGTCTACTGTGTGTTTAAAATAAAATATCAATTGTAGACCCAGTAGATTCAAAAAATTTTAGAAATAATTCCATTGACTCTAAAGAAAATTGTCATTTACTCATTTCCATTAAAAAATGTATGAATTACCTATGGATCATTTCCAGCGGAGGTTATCAGAATACATTTAACAAAAGTAGATGTAAAATGTGTACAAAAAATGTGTTACCCATTTTTAACACAATCTTGTTGGGACATACACATACCCAAAGCATTATTGCCATTACATGGAGAATGTGTCAAAACATAAACCGATTAGAAGTATTTCCAACTATACTGTTACTTTGAGTACTGGGGGTTAGTTTTTTTTTTAATTTTCTAATGCTCTTCGTGTTTAAATTAATTTGTAAATAGTTACAGCTTCCAAAATGAATTTATGTGCCCATAAATGCCGGGTAGAACAGAAAAATACTGGAATTTCATATGAATTTATTTTAAAAATTCACATCACATTGCACCCAATTTAGCAAATCAAATAATTTGATTCTATTACAGAGATAATAGAATTTCGGCGGAATGTGAATAAACATCTAAAGTAATTTTCGTAATTAGCATAATATTTCAGTTGGTTTCAGTTTCAGTTACGTTTATAAGCATCACTCACACACACACACATACACACGCAGGCACCATTAAGGTATGATGGTATCAAATTCTGTAAATTAATATGACAACAACTGGATGGGGTCGTTCCCTCGGCCAAAAAAACGTAATCTGACTGTGGGTTGTGTCTGTTTTTGTTGGTGCTGGTGTTGTTGCTGTTGCTGTGGAACATGACTTCATTTAAAAGTTATTCATAAAAATTAATAGCTTAATACTATTATCACGTCTCCCTTGTGTTTCTCTTTTAACTTGAACTGATTGACAACAGAAGCTGTTAACTTTTGAGTACTGCTTTTGAATTGCTTTCAATCAGCGTTTTGTCAATATATCCGATTTGCAAATATAAGCTTTTGGGAGTTTTTTTCGTTGTCTCCTTCTTCTTCTTCTTCTTCCTCTTTTCATTTTTGTCTTCATAATTATTATTGTCGTTTTGAAGAGGAAACTGTCCGTGACAGTCTGGAGTGGTGCGGAGATCTTCTTAAAATCAACAGATTTTACAAATGCCTGAGCGTAGGTGGCAAGGAAGTCTGTAAATTTAATAATGAAACTAATTTGCTTTTTTAATAAGTAACATTTCCTACTACAAAGATATTTACCTAAAATTTAAGCAATGAAACCAAGAAGATTTAAAATTTAATAGTGGTTTCCCAGGCACGAGATCGACGTTTCTGACAAATAATTACCCCAAAACTAAAAAGTTAAACTCTTAGATGCTATGAGAAATGTATTCAGAAATTTGCAGTTTGGTTGTATTTCCTAGTGAGGGTATGATTGCTATGGTTGTAAGTACGTGTTGTAAGAATTTGCAAAGGAAAGGGGTCTAATTATTAATTTTCAAATAAACAACTTTAATAAGAATAATTGACAAATGAATTTTAAATTTCGATTAATGACCACATTTAAGAAACTCTAAAAAATATATATGAAACTATAAATTTATGTTGGAAATTTATGTGCGGTAAATTTTTGATATGATTCACTTCACATGATCGTTATTCACACGTTCTTATTGCGGATTTAGAGCGGAAATCGAATGGCAACTATATAAATCTGAATGAATAATTTGAGTAGGCTTAAGTATAACATACATATACAGCGCTGTCGATGTATAGTTTCCATCGAACTGAAGCTAGTTCCAAATCTGAATTGATCACGGTAACATTTTACAGAGGTTTTTCCTGGATGTATCTGATTTCTTGCACCATTGCATCATTGTAATGTAGATTATAATTATCAAATTAAATTATACGGTGCCCAAAAATAATACCAGTTTCAATTAAGGGGATTATGTTTTTTTTTTGTCAAAACCCTCATGAAAAGTATACGAAGTTCCGGCCAATTCCGAGGTATATGTCAATTTCTGGAGATATCTTTAGATCAGGATAATTCTTTTGGTCCTTTCCATCCGTCCGTCTGTTGTAATCACGCTACAGTCAAAACGAATTAAGACAGGAAGCTAAAATTTTGCACAGATCTGTCGTTTGTCTGCAAGCAGGTCAAGTTAAAAATGGGATATATCGGTCTACAATATCGTATATCCCCTATATAACGGCACCTTCCGATATTAGGTAAATACCTAATATTTTAGCCACATTTTGCAATGCAATTGTCTGAAAATTCATAATAAGAGTTCCTTGTGAGTACTTTATGCCCTGGAAGAGAAATATCTATATAGGTTCACGATATCGTATATCCCCCCATAACGGTACCCATCGATATTCAGTATTTTGATTATTTTAGCCACATTTTTCAATGGAATTTTCTGAAATTCTACACAAGGAGTTCTTTGTGAGTACTTTACCCCATATATTGGGTCCTTCCGATATTGGGTATTTTTAAGATTTCAAAAGATTTGTTAATGGATTTTATATTATTTATTTTTTTTTTTGAAAATTTTCTAATTCTTTCGAAATGGTGAAGGGTATTCAAAGTTCGGCCCGGCCGAACTTACTGCTTTTTTTGCTTGTTTTAAACTATTTTCAACTGTTTATTCATCAAATAATATATATATTTTTTTTTAGAATATACAATAACTATAACTTTAAATATAAAATTTATAAAAGGCTGTTTAGCTACGGTTACGCACTAACGTGTAGTTGAACAATATGTGACAGGACATTTGCACTACGTTTTAAAACATGTTTTCCAATCCAATACGCATATTAATGGAAAGCTTATGAAGAGATCTATTCATTGGAAAAATAACAACTGTAGGTCAATTGGATAGATTCCGAACAGTATAATTCCATTGGCCAATATGCCTTCTGGGACAATTCTTCCTTATAAAGAGTTCTATTTATTGGCAAAATAAAAACTGCCAGAATCCTAGATATTTGGTAATTCCTTGAAGATAAATAAATAAGTGATAGAATCCGTTAAAAATTCTGTTAAAATCATAAATCCAATACTTTATTTTTGAACAAGATTAAAATACTATTAAGGACCCATAACTGTTTACTAAATCACGTAGAATTTTATGAACTTTTACATTTCTGGTTCTCTGTTAATGCTCACAATAATTATTAATTTTATATCTATGACAGCCAATATTATTCGATAAATATAAAAACATAAAATTTATTGCTGTTCATAAATATCCGAGGCAATAAAATTTGCCGTTTTAAATGCAACACCTTTATGGCAAGCCATAAATGAAATTTAATCGACTACAGCGCATTTGATTGATTTCCCTATTTATGGCCTTCAATCAGGTGTAAAAGACTGGGTCATTCATCCCTGAACCTGTCAGTTATCATATACAGCTATCAAAATATGTTCCAGTTACTTACCTATTATGGTTATTAAGATCATAAGGCCTAATACCACTGATGTGGCTGCCATTCGTATCAGTTCGCCAACATCCTCTGAAGCGGTAACATTGCCAGCTGTTGCATTGGCGCCCATGGCATCGCTGCCATTCAAAATGTCTGCCAGCAGACTTGTGTCGTTCAGCAGTGAACCATTGATAAGCAGTGACCCCAAATCGACAGCAACACTTTGGTACATATTGTCGTTCGCTATGAGGGACTCTGGCGATGGGAAGGTATCTGTTGCAGGTAAATTATTGCTATTGCTGCTGCCAATAATAGCGGATGTGGCAGTGACAGTGGCAGCAGTTAAAGCGGCTACGCCGCTCACGGCATTCCCCAGACGATTGTTGTTGGTGGTGTCAACATTTGTGTAGGACGTTATCGTGGGCATTGTCCTCGCCACCATTGTTGTTGTGGAAGATATTGTTGCGGCTGGATGTGGTCGTGATATAACATAGGTGTTGGGATTTTTATCATTGGCAATGAATATGTAATCCAGGGCATCTGTAAGTGAAAACAATAATGGAAAATATTCAATTGTTATGGGATAGTAGTAAACTGTAGGGGATATAGTATTTCATAAAAATTTGAGTAACTTGAATAATTGAATGTGATTTAACAACGTTAGTTATACTCTACAACACTATGTGTTTGGAGGTATTATAAGTTTGATTGGGCCAACAATTATGTAACACACATTGGTTTCCAACATAGAAAAGTATATATGGATCTTCCTATCTCTCCGATCTGAGTCGATCTAGATATGTATGTCAGTACGTCCATCTGTCTATGTTAATTTGTAATCAAGCTACAGGTCGCAATTATGAACCGATTCTCACGAAATTGAAAATGGAGGTGGAGTTGTGTCAGAATAGAACCCTATTGTATTTGGAGATGATCGCATGATATTTAGGGGTTGAAATGGACCAAAAATAGAAAATTTTTCTGATTTTGCAGTTGCTCTATAGGCCACAATTATGAATCGTCGCGGAAATTTACATGGAGTTAGAGTTTAGGACTGGGCACAAACCTACCAATTTGTTCGGCCATCGGACAATAATTAGAGGCTAAAATAGACCCTCACTTTCATGTAAGAAAATAGAAAAATTTCCACTAAACCGCGAATATTTTTAATCCCAGCCAAATCACAAATACATTAAAAGATCACTTCTGACCGTTACAGTGATGCTGATAGCCAAGAAATCGGATATATAGCAAAATAGGTACAATATATATGCAAAGGAATTGATATTTTTTATTCTGCTTATAAATCAAGAACCGCTAGTGAATATCTTTGGTCGAATTTTTTTCAAATTTTGTCATATTTTTTATCGCATGCGAATTTTTCAATTTGACTTACAATATTGAATTGTAAATTTTCAAAATGTTTAAAACCCCCAACATTACGTTTTGAGGGTATCATATGCATGTCGCAATTATCGTCCGATCCTCACGATATTTTGCATGGGGGTAGGGTCGGAATTGAAGCCTATTGTTCTTAGGATGCACATTTAGAGGCTTAAATGGATAAAAAAATAAACTTTTCTAATTTTGTAGTCGTTCTATAGGCAACAACTAGCATCGGAAGAGAGTTGAGGACAGGGAAGAAGTCTAGCATTTTGTATGACCATTATATTTAGCTGTAAAATGAACCACAACTTTCGTGTGCAATACTATAGAGTGCGTAAATATTGGCCAAATTCTCTGGGTCAAATACCTAAGGTCAACCTCTGGGCAGGACATGATTTCAAAAACGAAATCTCCCAAAATGGATTTGGATATAAGGGGACTTCGAACATACTGTAGTGTTGTAGGGTATCACATGATCGGCCCCGTACGACTATAGCCTTTGAAGGATCCGAATATCCCATTACGTTGAAAGAGGGAGAATGTTCAATACCAGTGTACTTCTTATACATCGCCCGCAAAAAAAAAAAAAAAAAAAAAAAAAAAAAACAAATCTGATAAAATTCCATCAACCTACTTCAATTCGTTCGGGAGCAAGATTGATTTCCGCAGACGAACAGAGGGACAGACAGACAGACAGTAGGACGGACATCGCTAAATCGACATAGAATTTTATGCTAGTCAAGAATATATATACTTCGTGGGGTGTAAAATGTATATTTGGAGGTATTAGGGAGGGTATAAAAATAAAATGAGTATATAAAAAAATAAATAAACAACAAATTCACATTCAGCGAACGGAATAAGCGATATAGTTAACTGACAGTTGACACTGTTTGCTATTACATAAAGTTATGTTCAGGAGTAAAAATAGGAAATTTTAGATTACACTTATTAATTTTGAATTATAATAAAAGGAATTAAGATTTATAGCTTCCTTAATACCAACGGTATATGTTACAGTGAATTTCCAGAAGATTTTATTTTTAAGAGTGCTATTACTGCCAAATTTGAGGTTTCTTCGTTTATCAGTTCTCTTTCATATTATTAAGTACAATTTCGAATAACAAAATTAAACCTCCTTATATTAAGCACAGTTCAGTACTTCCCCATTTACGTTTTCCAAATTTTTAGATCTATATATTCTTCTAATATCCACACTTTAAAGAGTACATTGCGTATATAGGATCTGTTTGACACGAATTTCAGAAAAAAAACTCAGATTTATTTTAGTTCTTCACAGTGAAAAAGAAACCGGATTGACTTTAACGCTGCAGGTCAGTGAGACTTGAAAATGTATCACAACTGCACAATATTTTGCATAAAAATTACAAAATAGACCTCAGTATCGTATAAGTTATGAAATGTGTGTATCTATTCATCATACGCACCGTAGTTCATTAATCAGCTAACTGATAATCCCATGAATAGATGAGAAGAATATTTATTTATACCCTACACCACAAGGTGGTCAGGGTATTATGTCTTCGTGTATTTGTTTGTAACAGGCAAAAAGAAACGAGATAGACCCATAGCTGATCTGCATGGAATCACATTCTGACTCGATTTATGCATGTCCGTCAGTCTGTCCATGTATTTTTGTGAACAAAGAACAGTTCGCATTTATTACCCGATTGAGATGAAATTTTGCACAAATCATTTCTTTGACCCAAGAACGAACCCTATTGAAATTGGAGATAATCGGTAAAAATTTAGATATAGCTCCCATATATATCTTCGTCCAATTCGTCCTTTTATTGTGCACCAAACGTGTAATATCAGCCGGAATAGTATGGCACATACAACACAATTAGGCCTGAAAATAAGTATGCCAAATTTGATCGAAATCGGTTCAGATATTGCTATAGCTCCAATATTTTTTGTTCATCCGATTTGTTTTTTTAGTCCTCCGCAGCCGTAATATGCACTCCGTAACAACGAAATTTAGGGAATATCTATGCCAAATTTTATCAAGATCGGTTCAGATTTGGATATAGCTCCCATATATATATCAAATGGTCAATACAAGTCCGAATTTAAAGATACAAATGCTTCGGCATATTTAGTCTTTTGAACTTTAAATTATAATTATAATCAAAGCGTGTATGATTGAATTCTCCCATAAAAACTTTTAATTGTTATGTGGAGCTCTACTAAATTAGGAAAGTTGTGTAGGGTATCATAAAGTCGGCCCCGCCCGAATTTAAGACTTTCTTTACTGGTTTTTAAATGATTTTTTTCTGTTGTTGCAAAATAGTCAGGCTAAATCCCCTTATTGTTGTTTTTGTTGATTTTTTTCTTTTTATGCCATACCACACTTTGTGCTATGGGTATTAAAATTTTTGATTAGGCATGGATCTTCCTATCTCGCCGATTTGTGTCGATCTAACAATGTGTGTCCGTTCGAAGATTATTGTTTTCCGAAATTATCGTAAAATTTAAATGTTGGAGTGCTTTAAGTTTAGCCACTTGAGGTTTTCCGGTCAAATATAAAGAAATCACACTATCACGTTTGAATTCCATCACGAATAATTTTTTTCGGGAAAATTCTCGCCAAAATATTTTGTACGCTTGTAAATAATATAATGAGCTGTCACTGTAATAATTTTAACAGCTGTCGGACGAATGAAATGAGGAAATTATAGCAGTCTGAGGTTTGTTGCACTTTTTTCATCTCACCCTGTTTATGTTTATAGATTTCCCCACTGCATTTAAGCCACATACACCATGCACACATTACAAAAATATAAAATTATATTCAGTTTTTTTTTTAATTTCACAAACTTTTGTTAAGTACATATTAATTTACGTAAGATTAAAAAAATGTACAAAAGAAAAAAGTAGGAGACTCAAACATTATGTCTCTTTATCATCTTTATATACATATTACTATTTACGGATTAATAAAAAGATTTTATGTCACAATCCAAACATTTTATATACCCTACAAGACTATGTGTTGGGGGTATTATAAGTTTGATTGGGCCAGAATTTATGTAACACCTCGAAATATTGGTTTCCCATATAGGAAAGTATATATGGATCTTCCTAGCTCGCCGAGCTGAGTCGATCTAGCTATGTATGTCCGTCCGTCCGTCTGTTCGTCTGTCCATGTTAATTTGTAATCACTCTACAGGTCGCAATTATGGCCCGATCTTCACAAAATTTAAAATGTAGGTGGGGTTATTGTCAGAATAGAACCCTATTTCTTTTGGAGATGATCGCCAAATGTTTAGGGGTAAAATGGACCAAAAACTGAAAAATGTAATGATTTTGCAGTAGCTATACAGGTCGCAATTATAGACCAATCGACGCGGAATTTCGCATGTAGCCAGAGTTTAGGGCGGGGAAGAAGCCTACCAATTTGGGTGGTCATCGGATTATATTTAGCGGGTAAAATAGACCATATCTTTTGTATTGAAAAAATTCGAAATTTGTCATTAAACCGCGAATATTTTAAATCCCGGAGAAATCACAAAGCCATCACAGGGTTACTTCTGATCTTTACATTGATGTTAACATCCAAAAAATCGGATATATAGCAAAATATGTGCGATATATATGTTTATCAAAGAAGATATGCTTGAAAAATCTCTTATGTGTCGAGAACGGCTGAACTGATTTCGACAGTTCTCATTAATTCAGAAAAAACGTCTAAAAAAATCGCATAAAAATATCTCTCTAAAGACGAAAACATTGATTTTGTAAAATTTTCTCATATTTTTTCAATTTTGTCATATTTTTTGGCATATTTTCATTTTGAATTAAACATTTGGTAATATTAACAAAACTAAGTAGTTAGGATATCAGGTTATCATATACAGATCGCATTTATGACCCGATCCTTACGAAATTTTGCATGGGGATAAGATGAGGGTCAGAATAGAAGCCTACTCTTTTTGGAGATGATCGCCACATATTTAGGGGTTGAAATGGACCAAAAAACTGCAAAATTGTCAGCAGGTCGTAATTATCAAATGAATGGGGGTTACCGGACATTGCAAAAGCCAAGCAGTTTTGGATGGCTATCCAAAAATATTCAATGTGTGAAATAGTTTGCCAACTTTTGTAGACAAAATACGAAAATGTCCATTACAGTGACTTCTTGGAGAATTCACAAATACAGGAAAGACGCACTTCTGACTATTTCGTTAACGCTTATTTAGTTGAAGAATATAGTCAAATGTCTGTATCTCATATAGATGCGTTTCAGTCAAAAACCAATAATAAATGTTAATCTTTTGTCACTTCTGGAGATTATGGGTCTCTGGGAAATATTGGTTCCAGATCTAATAAGTCCATTTACGTGCAACATCTACCAATAAATTGGAAATGAGCAAATTAGTTTAAGTTGCTATTATTCGAAAATTAGAGAACGAAACCTGATGGTTTTCTTTTATTATTTTTCACAATATCTTGTGCAATTCTTTCGAGTATCTCGCCTGTATAAACAGTATCGTTTATTATTGTGTTGTAGGGTATTCAACGGTCGGCCCCGCTCCGCTGTAGCCTTTGCTTACTTGTTTTAATTTTTTTTTCATTTTTTGTTTTTTATAATATGTCTTTTTTTCACTTTCACATTTTACGTATTTGTTCCATTTTATGAAATACTAGCTGAACCCGGTGCGCTTCGCTACCCCTTTTGATTTTATATGCATTCAAAATTTTATTTACGAATATATGTTGGATAAAGAAAATCAAATTTAAAAATTAAAAAAAGAAAAAATATTGCACTAATTTAATGCGTTAATAAACAAAATCATTACAAAAGCAGTAACATGACATGCATACACGAAGGGTTTGTCTTTTGGATTTATTTATTTCATAGCAAATACCAAGCGTGCAGGAAACTGCAATTTTTTTAAGTAGAGTGGCATTTCTATTGCTATTAGTGAATTCGAGATAGCAACATACTTCGCCGTAATAAGCGTATTTCAAATAAATTGTTGTGTTGTTTTTTAGTATTAGCCTAAGGCGTTGTGGGTCAATGGTTCTTATTAAAATCATATCCCAATCTGATCCGATTTAAATATAATTTTAAAAAAATTACTTTTACACCAAACTCCGCCACACCTTTCATATTTCATTGAAATTGGTGCGTCAAATATGTGAAATCGGCCGAGAATATAAATATGGGAGCTATATCCAAATCTTCACTAATTTCCAATTAATTTATCACATTTATTATTATAACCAAATTCCGTCACACATTCTGAATTTCATTGGAATCGGTCATATATATCGTGTTTGGTGCATAATATGTATGAAATCGGCCTCAACTGATTTCAATATAATTTGGCAATTTTTTTTGGTGCCAGATTTTGTCTCTCTCGCTTTGGGTGCATCAAATATGTGAAATCGGCTGAGTATATATATGGGAGCTATAATCAAATCTGAGCGTATTTGAATATAATTTGTCAAATTTATTTTTGTACCAAATTTAGCCACTCATGCCGAATTTCGTTGGAATCGGAAATACGTATCGTGTTTTGTGCATCAAATATGTGAAATCGGCGGAAAATATATATGGGAGCTATATACAAATCTAAACCGATTTTAATATAATTTGACTAATTTATTTTATAATCAAAATCCCGTTACATATTCCAAATTTCTTTGGAATCGAACATACATATCGTGTATGGTGCATAAAATACATGAAATCGGTCGAAAATATATATGAGAGCTATATCCAAATCTGAACCGATTTTAATATAATTTGACAAATGTATATTTGTTTTAATTTCCGCTACACATTCCAAATTTCATTGAAATTAGAGATACATAGCGTGTTTGGTGCATCAAATACATGAAATCGGTCGAAAATATATATGGGAGCTATATCCAAATCTGAACCGATTTCAATTTAATTTGACAAATTCATTTTGGCTCCCAATTCTGTTACTTATTTTAAATTTCATTACAATTGGAAATATTTACATGTAGTGTTTGGTCCACCAAATACATGAAATCGGCCGAAAATGTATATGGGAGCTATATCCAAATCTGAACCGATTTCAATATAATTTGGAAAATCAATTTTTTAGATAAAATCTATCACACGTTTCAAATTTCATTGAAATTGGGGATACATAGCGTGTTTGGTGCATCAAATGCTTGAAATCGGCCGAAAATATATATGGGAGCTATATCCAAATCTGAACCGATTTCAATATAATTTGACAAATTTATTTTCGGATTAAATCCCGTCACACATTCCAAATTTCATTGGAATCGAACATTCATATTGTGTTTGAGGCATCAAATGAACGAACTCGGTCGAAAATATATATGGGAGCTATATCTAAATCTGAACCGATTACAATATAATTTGGCAAACTTATTTTCGTTCCAAATTCCGTTACGTATTCCAAATTTGGAGACTGTATCTTCAACCAATCAATAGATATGTGCATATAAAATCTAAATTTTTGGGAGGTACCTCCGATTCTGATGCTATATCTCCAGTTCCAAGTGGAAATTCAAAAATGTATATAGCCTATGTTACTTTCAGGCGATGTTGCAGTATATATGGAAATTTTCAGGAAAATCTATTCAGCGGTTTTCGAGTCCATAAATTACAAACAAACAAACAAACAAACAAACAAACAAACATACAAACATTTTCCTCTTTTATAGATATAGATTTATCAATGTAATTTTTTGGCTTTTCAAATCAGCTTTCTTTATATATTTAATTTATTATAAATTTTCCATTGCATATTATTATGTTTGTAATTTTCCTATTAAATACTAAATTTTTTTCGGTTCTCCTTAATATTCCCAATTGCAATTATCTAAGAATACATTATATTTTTACATTTTTTTTAATTTATTTATTATTATGTTTAATATTTATTAATTTATTTTTTTATTTTTGTCGAGTTTATAATTTATGCCCAGTTTATTTATATTTAATTCTCAAGATATTGACACAATAATATTTTTAATCACAATTTGATTGACGTTATTACAAATGCAATTTAGAACGTTATCGTTTAAAAATCAATAAAACAAATTTTTAAATTTTATACATTTCAAAGCAAGACAATGCTAAGGTGTACACTTGCAGTCATTTTCTTTTGAATTATTTAATAAACTTAAATCAATTTAATTATTTTTCAAATCTTTACATGGTCATCAATGTCAAAGGTCGTAAATTGAGTTTGCCTTTGCCCTTTACACTTGTTGATATTTGTGTGGAAGCCCACGCTATTGTCGTCACTTAAAAATAGCATTCGTGTTAGCAAACAATGAGGGAAAAACATATCGTTTTCCCCTCCACTTCATGATATAACAAATCACTTTTTTCTCTTTGCGTGTCAATTTTCAATCACAATAATAATTTGGGAAGTGCTTCACGAAAAATCGTACTTATTTCCTCTATTATTCACTCGCCGGATTGTAACAATTTGGTGTTAATGTTTATTAAAGCTTTGCGACGACAAATGAAAATAAATATGATTGAGTGGGTGATAACTTACCATCAAATTTAGTTTTACGTGCCATTTTCGGTGTTTTGGAAAGGGCGGAATCGCGGTGCCAACATGCAAACAAACACGGTTTTCGTTTGTTTTGAAGGGAGAGCAATAACAAAAAACACACACACTCACTCACACAACACTGACTTTGTTTGCCCGGCAAACAACGGCGTAGATGGAGGCGTATGCCAGCACAACGGCAATATCGAACGGTAAAAATATAGTCGCGGAGTTCTGCGGTTAAACAAACGAAACCGGAAATTTACCAAAATGCTTTGATTTGTGTGTAGATGTCGCCGCAAAGAAAATCCGTTTCACATGACAGAACAATTACTCAACGCTTCGACAAGCGTTTCGTCCTTTTGTCGCACACACTTCTCGGTTGCTAAACGCGTACTGAGGAGCCCACAAAAGTCCAAACATTAAACGTAACGATGTGGGTAAATTTGGAATGCTTTCATTTAACTCGGATGCCGCAGAGAGAATAAGAAGTGGGGAGAGTGGAGAGAAAGTTGTGCAAAACTGTGTGTGCTCTTGCTTGGGCGGGTGGTGGTGATGGAGGCTCGTGGGAGAGTTGGTTGGCTCCAAACGAAGATGTTTAGATATATTGGCGTATGGCTTGATTTAACATTCCGACAGTTTCGGCGCAATTCCTTTTTTGCTTCTTACGGGGATACACCAGAGAAAGAGAGGCGCGAGAGAGGGAGAGAAGTTGAATAATTGCGGTAATTGTCCTCTGTGTGAAAACGAAGGCAACTCATACAAACAAAAAGGCAGACAATCTGCCAGCGAGCCTGCCAGCTAGTCAGTCAGTCAGACACCAAGTGTAAAGGTAGACAGTGCAAGGATGCGAATGTGGATATGTAACGGTAACAATTGTTAATCTAATGACTTTTTAAGTGTTGCCTTTGCTGGGTTGTCGTTGCCGCTTGTTAACTGCTACTGGGCCAAGAACAGAAGAGCCGAATAGTTTTGGAGTTTGTATGAGTCGAAATTGCGGCGGTTTTCACTGATGCTGTGGTTGTTGTACTTGACGCTAATGTTCTTAATGTTGTTGTGGGTTTTATTTGAAACATACTTTTTGTTCAAGCGCCTCTTCGGGGGATGCGTGAATATTAATGCTGTTGCTCTTCAATGGTTGTCCGTCTATACGTATGTATGTGTGTGTAGCGCTGTGCGATGTGGTGCTATGCTCCAAGTTCGCCAAAAGCATTTATTGATTTTGTTTTCCTGTTGTTCTTGTTCGCAGATTATTGTTTGTTTCTGTCTTGTATTTTGTGTGTGTTGTTGTTGTTTTCGCTGTTCCTGTTTTTCCTCTTCCGTTTGCTGGCGGTTGTTTTCTCAGATTTTATCTCAATTTCATTAGGTTTCCAACATTTTCAAGTACTCCCCAGCCGCCGACCGTTAGGTTTATTTATTGACTGCTGCCGGTGATACAGTATCAGTTGCGGATAAGGATATAAATGCTTGGATGGTTGGTGGTTTCTTTCAAATTGAAGGACTTTTACACGCAGAACTTTGTGTCCTTCACAAACATGCTGCTGCCGCTGCTGCTGATGTCGATGGACTCAGGATATCTGAAATAAATAACGAAGCAGAGAGAAATAAAATTAGTTTAAGGCAATATTTGTTGAAATTAATTGAATAAAAGTTCATTGTAAATTTATAAAAATGGCAGATAATACGAAGGATGTTGATATAACTTTAATTTTTCGTGGGAAATTTATTAAAGACAATTGTCAGTGTCAGTGTCAGTGACATGGCCATGTGGAGTACTTGAAATTAACCACAAGAGTATTTATTATGAAGTTGGTTGTTGTGTTTTTTCTTTGTAATAAAAAAAAGATAAAATTGGTCCCAAATGAGAAGAACATATCGCGTAAAATATTGGGATTTTTTCCAATAAAAATGGAATACATTTTACTGGTAGAGATAGAGGTTTATTATGAGTTTATAACTTTTTCTATAGAAATATTTATGAAAGGTATGCAGAAAAATTAATTTATTTAAAGCGAGTTTATGTATGACATTTTAGCCCACAGTTCAAGTTCGAAGATGGGATATCGTATAGCCCCTATATAATGGTACCCCCGATATTTGGAATTTCGATTATTGTAGATAATTTCCTTTTGAGTATTTAACCCCTGGAAGAGAAATGCCTGTATAGGTCCACGATATCATATAGCCCACATACAACGGTACCCCCGATATTCGATATTTTGACGATTTTAGGAAGATTATTCACCAGAGTTGTTTCAAATTTCTCATTTAGTTCGTAGTTCGTTTAGTTCGTAATGGGAACTACAGTTTATGATACAAAATTTTCTATGTAGGTTAGGCGTCATATATCAGTACCACCCTATATTCGGTATTTTCAGTATTTTAGGTACAATACTCACCGAAATTGTTTGGAATTTCGTATTTAAAGTTCGTAATAGGTACTACGATCTGTGGCAGAAAATTGTCTATGCAGGTCCAGATCTTCGTATAGCCTCCATATAACGGTCCTCCATATATTCGGTATTTTGATGATTTAAGGTACATTATTCACCGATTTTTTAAAGTTTCGTATTTGAATACTGCAATGACTTATGACAAAAGTTGCTTATACAGATCCTCGTCTTCGTATAGACACCAATATAATGGCTATACTCTTTACATTTAAGATTTTAACAGAATTTTTAACGGATTTTTTTTTTTTTGAACACTTCCAAATTCATTCCAAATGGTCAACGGTATTCAAAGTTCGACCCGGCCGAACTTACTGCTTTTTTACTTGTTTCAATATAAGTCGAAATTTATATCTATAAATAAATAAAGAGTGGTAAAGACTGACCAAGAATAAACGCCTTAATGGCTGGAGTTAGTTTTGAAATTTTATACGAGGATCAGACTTGGTGCGTACACCACTATGCATATTTAGTAGAGCTCTCGTAAAAAGGTTTATACAGAGCATTTCAGAGCTCTATGAGATATTTGGTACAAAATCAAAATCTATCTAATTCTATCGTGCATTTTACGAACTATAGCTATCTCTGAACCGGGTTTCTCCAAATTTGACGTATTAGCTTCTAGACTGAATTCGGTCTTATGTACGAAAATTCATGCCATTTGGGCTGATATTGGCCATTTGATGCACAATTAAAAAATCGGATGAAGATATATATGAGAGCTATAGCTATACCGATTTTTACTAAAATTAGTGTACTTGCTTCTAAGCTGGTTTCGGTCGGATTTGCCAAAATTGATGCTACTACGGCCATTTGGTGGTCAATCACCCGAAATCGGATGAAGATATATATGGGAGCTATATCCAAATCTGAACCGATTTTCACTAAATTTGATATACTTGCTTCTAGGCTGAATTTGGTCCGATGTACTAAAATTCAGTCCATTTGGACTTATATCGGCCATTTGGTGCACAATTAACCCGAAATCGGATGAAGATATATATGGGAGCTATATCCAAATCTGAACCGATTTCAATAAAATTACAAACAGCTATTTCTGGGCTGTATCTTTTATCTGGTACCAAATATCATTCTTGTGGAGTGCATATTACGAATGTGAGAGGCTTAAACACCAAATCGGATAAAACATATATATGGGAGCTATAGCTATATCTGAACCGATTTTCTCTAAATTTGTTGTATTTGCTTTAAGGCTAATCTCGGTCACATGTGCCAAAATTCGGGCCATTTGGGCTGATATTGGCCATTTGGTGGCCAATTAACCCGAAATCGGATGAAGATATATATGGAAGCTATATCCAAATTTGAACCGATTTCGATAAAATTTAAAACAGGTATTTCTGTGCTCCATCTAATACCTGGTACCAAATATCACGGTTGTGGAGTGCATAATAGGAATGTGAGGGACTTAAAGATCAAATCGGATGAAAGATATATATGGGACCTATAGCTATATCTGAACCGATTTTCTCCAAATTTGATATGCTTGCTTCTAGGCCGAACTCGGTTGGGTGTGCCAAAATTCAGGTAATTTGGACTGATAGTGGACATTTGGTGCACATTTAACCCGAAATCGGATTAAGATATATATGGGAGCTATATCTAAATTTGATCCGATTCTCACCAATTTCAATAGGGTTCGTCCTTGGGCCAAAAAAATATTGTTTGGAAAATTTCATCTCAATCGGATAATAAATGCGACCTGCATTTTGTTCACAAGAATACATGGACAGACGGACGGACGGACGGACGGACGGACAGACGGACTGACATGCATAAATCGACTCAGAAAGTGATTCTATGAAGGTTCTCAAAAGTAACTATGGGTCTGTCTCGTTTCCTTCTCCATGTTACAAACAAATGCACAAAGACATAATACCCTTACCACTATGTGGTGTAGGGTAAAATAAAATTTAGAATGAGAATCAGTGATGAAGTGCAAGATAGATGCAACAAAGGGTTTTTGGAAATTCGACCATTAGGTTACGAAGTGGTACCATTTGGTATTATGTTAACGGATTGAGCTAAACAATTGGTACGAGAGTCAATGTTGAAATCTGAAATTTTGTATTAAAGAAGCTGTTTATGTTTATCCTGGACATATAGAGGTAGTTTCGGAAATTTATACTCTTATTGTACGAAAGGTTCTGAATGTTAGTACATTTTGAATGGTGTTAAGGGATTATTTGTATGGGCATACGGAATGAGTTAGAGTTCTGAAATTTGGAATGCGAATCACTGATGGAGTGCAGGATAAATGTGCCAAAGGGCTTTTGGAAATTCGTATTTTAATGTTGCGAGAAATTCTAAAATGGAACTAAATATATAAAATGGTACCATTTGGTAATATGTGAACGGATAGAGCTAAGAACTTTAAGTCTGGTATAAGAATCAAGGTTGCAAACAAATTTCACATATGAAGGTGTCTTTGAAATATGTACTAAGTATGCGAACTGTTTTTAAGGGTACTAAATTGAAAACAGTTGGGTTTTGTGTGAACTGATGAATTGGAATTTTGAAATTGTGTTGGGGTCCCTGTTGTTGGTGGGTTTGTGATAAAGAGGCGTTTTGGGAAATGTGCACTACAAGTGCGCAAAGAGTACTAAATGTAGTACAATTTGGTATTGGGTGCAAAGAGAGCGCTTGAAATCTGAAATTTAGTATTAGGGTCGTTATTCATGTGTTGCCTGGACATATGGAGGTGGTTTCCGAAATGTGTACTATAATTGTGTGAAAAGTACTGAATGGTATTATTTTTGGTATTGGTTGAAGGGATAGAGATAGAATTCTGAAACTGGATATTTAGATTACTGATGGTATCTGTGTTTGAGATATGGCGGTTGTTTGGTAATACGTTCTAAATTTGTACGAAAAATAATAATTGGTACTAAATTTGGTATTGGGTAAAGGGATTGGTCTGGGGTTTTATTCGAAAAGTTCAAAATTAAACCTAATTTGGTATTGGGTGAAGGGATAGAGTTGAGTTCGTGAGATATTATATTGCGATATATGTTTTTGTCCAGGATTGAGATATGGAACGGTTTTGCAAATCAGTACTAAAAATATACCAAAATTACTAAATGTTACTAAATTTGGTATTGGGTATTGGTATTGTGAAAATACCTCTGTTGTTATGATATCGTAGCAGCATAGTTAGCAATGTTATGCGATTTAAACCGCTTAGGCAATATGCAATTAATTGTGAACGTCTATGGAAAATAATTTTGAAGCCCAATTTTTGGATTTTTCAAACTTTTGTTTGTCATTTTTTTCTATAAATGTGTTTTTTATATTAACATAGTCCTGTCATGAGCTGTTATATAGATAGTATGGGTACAAACCATTTGCTCAGAATGCATTTTGTCTAGTCTTTACCATTTTAGGTCTTTGCCAGAAATTTGATATTAAGGTCTTTGTTATTATCTGGAAATGAGATATGGAGGTGGTTTTGAAAATGTGTGCTATAGTTGTACTAAATAGTATGAAATTTGGTTGAAGTGATAGAGCTGAAATTTTGAAATTTGATATTGAGGTCTCTTTTGGTTTCAAGGGTTTCCATATGGAGTCGTTTAAGTCGTTTTGTATAGAAAAATTGGATGTGGAATAATTGCGCAATGGTTTTACTATTACCCTCCTCGGTAAAATTCAAAATGAACGATTTTAGAGACTTCTCGGTGTATACGGTAAAAAAAAAATATATATTATTCTTTCCGAAAAAGGAAAAGCTTGGGTAATATATAAAACCTTGTAAGTCTGAAAATTTAGTACGATGTATGAAGTCCCTACAAATTTAGTACTTTTCTTATGCTGCATAGCACGCATTTCCTGTCGATTGTTTAACTCGATAGTCTAACACGTAGTTACCCTTATAGCACTATTTAAATGTTAAGATGTATTTCTACACTTACAATAAATTTAGTACTTTTTGTACGCAAACTTCCGAATTCCCGTCTGATCTAAACGCTTCGTTGTCACAGTAATCCTAACACCAAAATTCATAATGCCATTTCTATTACTACACTATATGCTCAATTTAGTACTAAAGTGACTCGCACAGATAATAATAATATTCAGTAGTAAAAATCAAAACTTGATTTTACATTTCA